GGAAGACACCTTTGAACCAGGCAAGAGCCTCGCCGGTCAATTTCTCGACGGCAATAAAAAATTCGTTCGATTTTTCGACGGCGAATTTCGGCACCTCATCGAAGCCATTTTTCTGTGTGTGGGTGTGAGTAGAAGATGGAGAGGGCTAGGGTTTGACGTAAGGAGAGAATGGGAATGTGAGAGAAAATCTTGCCTAGTTTTTACCAATTTTGTTGCTTAAGACGGCCATCACATCTCTGCAGATTCGTCCCAGTTTTCATGACCAAGTGGAAAAGGAGGGGAAATGGAATGGGAGCAGGTGTTAAAAGAGGGTCGTACCCAGATTTTACGGTAAGAAAATCTCATGTACAGCGGCCCTCGGGCCCACCGAGAAACACCGTACAATTTCGGTCTCAGCAGGTTTTCCGGTGCTTGGCAGGACGACCGGTCTGGAAAGGCGCAAACGTAATTCATCCTATACACATAGATGTAAAAAAAAGGCAAAAAAAGCGAATCCAATTGCAAAACTGTAATAAATTGTGGACACTTGTCAGCCATTAAGAGTGTCTAAATTGGACACTTTTCACTACCACAATTAGTCTAACTCTTTCATATATAGATAAGAGAGATGTGTGCGTGTTATGTAGTGTGTGTGTGACTGTGTGTGCTTTGATAATTTATTATTTTTTTAGCTTAAGTTAATGAATGTGATTTTGGTGGTCATGCTGGACTTTGGGGGAAATAGTAGGGAGAAAAAGTTTATTTTATTTGAGAAAACAAAAAGGTTGGAAGTGAAAACGTAGGTGAAAAAGTTTAGCTTAAGTTAATGTGTGTGGAGGAATTTACCGCTTGCAGTAATCCAAATTTCTCTCTCTCTCTCACTTTTTAATTTTTGATTTGCATAATTATAGATATTGTATTTTGATATTTTTTTGTCTATAAGGGATATATGATTATGTTCTAACGGTAAATTTGTTTGTAGCTAGAGGTGGCCACTGGATTGGATTAGACATGGGCCGACATCCGCTCGAGTATATATACAGGCAGGTTCATTGAACCGACGGTTCACGGTTTAGAATCACCCAAGTGATTCCAGACCGAATCGACAAATTAAAAAAATAATAAAAACAAAAATTAAAACCATTGAATTATCGGTTCAAATTTTGAAATCGGTTTGGAACTGAAACCGATGGTTCGATTTATAACATGAACATGAATCGACTCGGCTAAAACCATGAGTCGGTTCAAGCCCCACCGTCGACAGGCTTGACTGGGCTAGTTCGACGCGTGGCCATGTCTACATTGAATCGTCCCATCCCGTCCCATGAACCCCGCAGGTTAGGCCCGTTGACTAGACCGTTGACCATGGGTTAGGCAAGTCTTAGAAAAGCATTTTGGCTGGGAAGGATTTGGTGCCCAANATATATATATATATATATATATATATATATATATATATAATTGTTGGCAAGTTTCATTTAATTTTATTCAGCCTTCAAAATAATAATATGAGTTCATTTAATAAAAATAAGTTGTTTTTTTTTTAAAAAAAAATTATGACCTCCATCCAACAACCGTTACAATATATTTTTTTCTTTTAATTTATTCCATACAATCATCCACCTATTTTTTTACTATTACCAATTTTTATTTCCCTATAAATACACAAGCCTTCGGCGAACAATATTATTGTTTCGAATTCTGTCAGGATATAAACGAACTTCATGTTTTAAGCATGTTGGCATTTGATCCTTCCCACAAAACACTTGTAGAACCAGTCCTTTAAAGAACATAAGATGACTTATGAACTTTGTAAAATGATGGAAAGAGCTCTTTGAAAAATCTATTTTATAGTATTTTAATAACATGAAAGATATGAGAGAGATAAAAGTAGCTATTTTATAGTATTTTAATACTATATATTTTGCATTTTCTCTTGCTATGTCACCTCAAATTATCTTGTTTATTTATTGCCCAATTTTACTTTATTTGGCTGTTATTGATTGGTCGAGGGTATAAATTTCAATGACATGAATACTAGGTTTTATTAACTATAAGAAATTCTAGTTCCCGACTTGGGATTTTTTTCTCTCTCTCTAGAGACTTGAATTCCCGATTTGGGATCTTAGGGTTCTTAGTCTCCTTCTTCCTCTTCATCTTGCTTTCGATTTCTCCTCTTATTCTTCATCTTCTCTCTCCCGTTTCGTTTTTCATCTGTGTATATTCATATGTTGGTCCTCTCTTGGCTATCGATCTCTCAAATACACTTATTTCTAAAGGGGCTTGCTTATCCTATCTAATTGACCCTATATTACCTTTCCTTGTTGTTTTTTGTCCATCTTGGTGTCAGTTTTTCACTTAGTAGTGGCTTATCTCTCTGTTTCTTTTGCTTTTCCTAGGTGTCGCTTTGGTCAGTCTTTGCTGTTGACACGTAAGGTTAGGGTTTGAAGGTTGTTGGTCGATAATCGCTACTTTAAGATGGCAAACGAGCTGGCAAATCAAATTCGCAGCTTTAAGTTATCAGATAGAGAAGGAGGTGGGGTTTCGATTACGGATGATGATATCAGTTCAGGAATCCAAGAATGCACCCTGAGTCCATAGGTGTGTCAGGCCTATGTCACTATAACGAAAAAGGTTACCTCCTCACATCAGCCACAGACAATAAGAACTTTCTTCATACCAATCTCAACTATAGCTGGTGTGAAAAGGATTGTCGCCTAAAATCGGTTCGCACTGACCAAAGAGATGATCTGCTCGAGCAAGTTGTTGGGACAAGCGTCGTTCTGCATATCTCTAACCTCTGAGAGACCGCAAAATGTCCAGGTGTAGGGACACAAAATTTGTGTCCAATCAATTGACGTCACTTGAAAATTAATTTATTAAAAATCAAGTCATATTTTTTATTTATTTTTAGGAATTTTCATATATTTAATTCTTAAATTTAAATAGTTAATTAATTAATATTTTAATATTTTAATTCTTAACCAATCAAATAATGTCAAGTGTCAAATCTTATTCTTGGTAAATAAATCACATATCTTCTAGAATATCTTGGAAGATTTAAGTGGATCTAGAAGATCTTATGTGAATCATCATGGACCAATCAAATTGCGTCCTACAATTCTTGAATTTGGTAGGATTCTCTCTCCTACACATATAAATAGGGGTTCTCCCTAATGTAAAAAACACACCTCATAATTCAAGTTTAAATTCAAGAGCTCTAGAGATTCTCTCGACGAGATTCAAGTGTTCTTGAAGATTCAAAGGCGTTCTTGAAGATTCGAAGCAAGATTCAAGCGCATTCAACCATAAGAATATCGTTCAATCCGGAAACAAGCTGCGAAGCCTCCGAATTACGTTAGTAAATTCAAATCTGGCGTAGAGAAGATTCGAGATCTACTTTGCGACAAAAACTAAGGATTCGTATTCTTCGCGTTCTTGGGATATCATGGCGTTTGATCTGAGAAAAAGCTCTCAAGCCCTCGGATTAACGTTAATTCAAGTCAAATCAAGTCAAGGAGAAGATCAAGCCGAAGATTTCGTCCAAGACTTAAAATTGTTCGTGAGAAGAATCAGATGAATAATAGAAATTGTAATCATCAATATTTATTTTCATTCGAGAAATTGATTTGAATAATATTTTTCGTGTTTTTCAATTCAATTCACGAAATTTGTTGTTACACCAGGAAATAGCATATTTAATGTCCTTTTCCTTCTATATATAGCGAGGCCCCAAGACACCGGAGATCATCGAATATTAATCACAAATAACCCAGAAATAGCAAATACTAGGCTTTTACCGTTTTTCCAGATAAAATAGGCCTTCATTACACTCTTGTAGTAAAGAGGTCTGAGAGCGACAAAAATTCTTTAATAAACTCGCGGTGCATGCTCATCAATTTATCGACTGTCTTATTGTTCTAATTTCTTTTCATGTTTGTTTATCATTCTCAATCATCTTACAATACTAGCTTCTCACACCTACAAATAACACACTACTTCTTTGTAGTTAAGTTGTCGTAAACAATAATTGACACTAGCTTTCATGGCATGCATTTGTGACCTTTTTACCAGTTTAGTTTTTTTGTTATAATTTGAAATGGTCGGGTAATTTCGAACTAGTTAGAGCCGTCTGATATTGTGAGGCGAATCTTGTGGTCTCTCTATTTGACCAAAAGCCTCGTACATATCGTTTTTAGCTCAAACAAAAAATGATCCCTTTTTTTCCTTCTTCTTGATTTCTCTAAATACTAGAATAAGTAGACGTGGCCAAAACCCGCTTCCGGGTCGCGTGCTAGAAGACCTGAATAGGCCTGGCTCTATGAACTGCCGGTTCAAGGCCAGTTCTAGCGGTTTCAGGCCTATTCTTTAAGTTTTTTCAAATTATTTTCTAACAGAGACCCTCCGGGTAAGGATCAACCCGACGAGTCACGCGGGTCGGGTAGATGATGGCCGTCTGATCTCAACGGTCAAATTATCTAACGACACGATTTAAAAATGTGACCGTTGAGCGACCCGACAGGTCGGGTTCGACCTGAAACCGAGTTTTGACTTGACCGTCTAATTTAAAAAATAAAAAATAAAAAAAGTCGAAGACCCGTACCCGTCTTTTGGCTTGTTACCGGCGGGTAAAAAAAAATGAGACCGAAACTAGCCCGTTTTTAGCGTTGGTCGGATCAACGACCCGTGGACCTGGACAGGTTATAGGCCGATCCTTGGCCATGTCTGCCTGAAAAAGACGAAGAGATTTCTTAAAAAGCGTGAGACGAAGAGATTTCTTTCTAGCCCTTCATCGGCTTTCACAATCATCGGACTAAATCACCATGGCCGGAGCCCTCCTCCCGGCGGCGGAGATGACGGCGAGTGGCCGCCCCGTATTAAAACCCGGAGAGGTGGAGTGCTCCCTCCTCTCCGCCGTTGACCTCCTATCGGAAGACTCCCCCACCTTCCCAAACCTCAAATCCGGCATCCTCATCCTCACCACGCACCGCCTCCTCTGGCTTCCACCGGAAGCCGCCCCCAACGGCCCAACAAGCCGCCCCTGTTTTATCCCTCTCTCAGCAGTCCAACACATCTTCTCCACCAAAAAGTCGATCAAATCCATGTTCCACAGCCCTAGGATTCGTTTCCAGGTTTTCGCCACGGCCGAGGGGGCCATCTCGGAGAACGGTGGCCTGAAATCTCTGGCGGTCACTTTGATAGTGAGAGGGAAAACTGACCCAGATACATTTTTGGCGAAATTTTGGGAAGCTTGGAGAGGAAGGGCCTGGGAGGCACAGGAGAAGTCAGAGTCCGGCGAGGGGTCGGCTTCGGGATTGTTGGCTATCCGAGCGCCGGTGGTTGGTGTTGCTGGTATATTGAGGAAAGAGCAGGAGCTGTGGGAGAGTACTGACAAGAACTTGCAGGATGCTTTTCAGGATTTGAATGCTCTCATGGTCTGTAAGTGTGTTGTGGAATCCCTTGCTTATATTGAATTAAATCACCTAGTATCAATCTTATGCTCCATCGGCTAAATGTGAGGATGTAGTTTACTACAGCAAGTTCAGAATTTAACACAGTTTTAGAATTTACCTTCGTGTGGATTGTGCTTGTGAAGACATTCCTTTTTATGCATAAAACTGTTCAAGTGAGCTTGTGATGTTGATAGCAAAGGCCAAATCATAATATTTACTGCAAAATAGTAAATGTCAGGTTGCTAGTCGGTATTCCAGACTTCTAGAGGCATTTTGTGTGTTGGTATTAGTGAAAAACAATGAGTTAATGGTATAACGATAAGTTTTTTAGATGAAATTTAGATGATGTTGGTCTGTTGCTTACCTTAATAAAATCTTCTTCATCTTAATGTTGAGAAATAGAGTAAAGCAAAGGAGATGGTGATGCTGGCCGAGAAGATGAGATTAAAGCTTCTCTCAGGATCTAATAATCAAACTAGTGGACCCAATGATGATGAGATGGGTTCTAAGGAAGAGATGCAAGATTGGTTATTGAGTGTTGGTATTGTATCTCCTGTTACAAAGGAGTCAGCTGGTGCTTTGTATCATCAACAGCTATCTCGTCAGGTATTGTTCTTTCTGATGTTAAGGTTCCCATAACAGAGCGGACTATATCTTTGTTTTTTTTTCATATTTTTTTTGGCTACACATGATGCTAATTAAAGATTTGAAGCTTCACTTGCGCCATTAATTGTGTGTTAGTGGCATTTCATTTTTTCTCTTCATTTTGTTTCAAGCCCTTTTTGTGTTTCTCTTACCGATGGTTCTCTTGGGTTTCATCTCTAGCCTACCCCGACTTGCTTGAGACTAAAGGCTTTGTTGTTGTTGTTGTTGTAGTGGCATTTCATTTTTATGTTGGTTTTTTCTGTAACCTTGGCCTTGTATTTGGTCTCTTTTTTCTGTGATTACTTTTTTCTGTATAAATGGTTAAAGAATGTCACTTAAGAAAATCAAGCTTATGAAAAAGAAAAAAAGAAAAAGAAAAAGATTGTAAGAATTTCTCTTTACTTGTTGAGTTTGACAGATATTCTTATGATGAGTCCTTTAACTGCCGAACCTTTTTCCTTGATTTGGCTACTGCTGACTAGTTGTCCATTGCAAATGGAGCTGGAAGAGTCATTGTTGACAATTCTCCTGGCATAGTGCTAATAATGGACTATATCAAAATGGCTCAATTAAATTCTAGTGCTTCTTCTATTAGTGAAGTTTCTAGAAAAAAAAAATATATCAAACGACGCAATGCACCTTGGGTCGCTACGGAAACAGCCTCCTTGTATAATTACAAGGGTAAGGTCTGCATACAACTGACCCCCCAGACCCCAACCTGTTGGGAATATACTATACTGGGTATGTTGTTGTTGTTGTTGGCTACTGCTGACTAGTTATGTTGGTTGTCAGTTGGCAGATTTTGTCAAGATACCCTTAGAGAGGGCTGGAGGAATGATTAATCTGATAGATGTTTATTGTCTCTTCAATCGAGCCCGTGGCACAGGTTTAGATTTTTAACTTTTTCTTCTGTTCATGGCTGCTTGCGTTTTTTTTACGTTTGAAGCATATCATAAACATGTCAAGAAAATTAGGCATGTCTTTTACTGGAACATGATGAAACTGCAACTTTTCACAGAATTGATCTCTCCTGATGATTTACTGCAAGCATGTTCTCTCTGGGAAAAGTTTGATGTGTATGTATCTTTAGTACTATACTCATTCTTCTACTTCTGTGATACTGATGGCAAATTTGAGAAGCGTGCTTTAGACATTTGGCATTTTTTATCAACACAGATTGCTAATGATATTCTTATTAACACAGATTTCTACTGATGTTTTTATTTAAATAGGTCGGTTATGCTACGGAAATTTGACAGTGGTGTCATGGTGATCCAGAGCAAAACCCACAGTGATGAAGAGGTAATTTTGATTATACCGAATTGACTTTTCATTATTATTGTTAATTCCTTTTTTAACTAACCTTCTTCAGATATCTTTTGTTGTTAATTTTAATCTGCTTTTATCCCGTATAGGTATTTGCCAGGATTAGGTCTTTGATTATGAAGCCTGAGGCCTTACGAGCTGGCATCAGTGCCTCTGATGCTGCTATGACTCTTGGTGTTGCTCCAGCTATGGCTAAGGAGTATCTGCTTGCTGCTGAAGGAAAAGGCATACTATCTACTCCCAGTTTTTTCTCATTTTTTTTTTTTTTTTTTTTTNTTTCCTGTACGTCCTAAAGAATTGGCTTTAATGACTTTCTCACGGGCCATTTTACTTGCAGGATTGCTATGTAGAGATGTCAGTCCAGATGGCTTTCGTTTCTACATCAATTTATTTCTGGAACTTTACCCAGAAAATCTATACATGTAAGTGGAAGAAAATGTGGCCAACCATCGCTATTTTTGCTGCATGTTATGTGTTAGTCGTATACTCAGTATGGGATGGAAGACCAAAATCAATTCCATTTTTCACTGTCTTCTGTAAAATTTTGACTCAAATGAAAAAGAAAAAATAAAAAATTGTAGGCACTTGCATTAGTTATTAACCTACGGCCTTTGGAGATACTTACAATTCTAATGTTCGTCAAGAATTGGTGGATAGAGGAAATGCTATTCATCAGCACAGGTTATCCCGTGATCTAAAATTGTTTGCGTGCAGACCTTAGCATGTGTCTCAATGATATGAAATTCATGTGACAAGTGGTATAGATTTACCTTACAGTAAGATATATACTAATGCTTGTTTGAAATAAATTTCACTCATTCTAGTGAAATTTGAATAGAATAGAGGTTCTTTGTTATTCATTTAATCTCATACAAGCGAAGGTACAGTACCAGATTATCTGATCCCATTTCTAGATTGGCTGACCGGATTCTTTTGTTTTTATTTATTTTTCTTTACCATTCTATGTACTTTCCTTTTCGGCGCAGGGTGAAAGATCACAGTCGATATAGCACCTGGATTGGGGCCGTGTTATCCAGATGAAAATTGTGCATCAAATAGAGAATTTTTGCATTTGCTTCATCCAGGGCAAACAGAAAAGAACAATGTATTGAATTGGAGTAGCTACCCGAACTGGATAAAATAGTACTATAATAACTGGGGCTCGGACACCATAGTTTCTTCTACAAAAATTGTCCAAGATTATGACAAGGCAAAGTGATGGCCAGACACAACAACACTTCCTTCACGGTGGATTTTATCATTCAAAGACGAGTTAAATTGTACGGAGTATACGTTAAAATGGTTTAAGGGCTTTCGGATATTTTGCCTCTAGTATTCTTCTTCCCCTTCTTCTTCTTCATGGGAGTGCAAATGGGAAATTTTTCTGCAGTCATGTGTATAAGTAAAATATTGATAAGTGAAATAATTAAAACGTATGGCAATATATGGAGTGTATTCGTTAATTAATAATAAAAAGTTTTAAGATTTTAGGACTTTTAATTATTTTTTTTTTATCTTGGAAATATCGAGATTTTGTAAAATCTTAAGGTGTTCGTTCAAAATATAAAAAGTTCTAAGAAATTATTAGATAGTCAATTTATTTATCACTTTATTTGTAATTTATATGAATTTATGAATGATTATTTAGATTTTAAAAATAAAATATAACTATCAAACTCTTCCACAAAATCTCTCTTAAGATTAATTTACGAGGATTTCAATAAAACAAACTAGTTAATTACTTATTTTTTTATGAATGGATCTTAATTTATGAGGAATTCAATAAAATAAACTAGTTAATTACTTAATTTTGTTATGAATGGGNNNNAACGGAGGCACTGCCTACATAGAACTTATTTTACGACCTTCCGAGGATAGGACACTCCTAACACATCGTGAGTTAACCATACGCCCGCCCCCGGCGGTGGATGCTCCAGCCTATGAAGACCACCCGGACCCTTCGCTACCAAAGAAGCCAAATAGTCTGCAACAAAGTTGGCCTCTCGATATTCATGAATAACCACCACCGACCAATGACGACCCAAAAGTTCTTGAATCTCCTTCAAAATACTCCCATACGGCCCGTTGTAGGTCTCATCCTGCATCATGGCGACAATGCTCTGGTTGTCAACCTCCACCTGAAACAAACCCCATAATTCCGCACCAATAATTGAGCAGAAACCAATTTTCATCAAGAAGCCCCTTACCCAATTACCATGGTGATCTCGGATAACCCCTCCGGCGCTGGCCATACCCGTTGCCGGAATAAAGCTACCATCCGTGTTGACCTTGAGCTCATCCTCCTTCGGGGAAGACAAAAAAATCCAGTGTGTTTCACGCATGCCACAAGCTCCGACTTTCCAGTTCCCGTCCAGTGCTCCTCTCACCTTATCCACATAAGAACCTATTTCGCCAACCCGTTGATTCATAGTCGTGTCCGTCCCTTGGAATATTTTTAAATTCCTCCACCGCCATAGGCGCCAAGCTGTGAGGCCAAATAAGGAGTCCCAGTTCTCCAGTAACTGAGCAAAACCACCAGATAAATTAGCCCGGAGCCAATCGCGTAGATCCAGCGAAAAGAACTCATGCCATTGATTGCGAGGAAGCAACCTCTTCCATGTTTGGGTCGCCGCCGGACAGTCACGTAAGGCAAGAATTGTGGTTTCACAGTCCCTCAAACAAAGCACGCACCTTGAGCTCGAAGCCATGTGTCTACGTAGCCTATTTACGTTAGTCAATAGTCTATCGCGAGCCGCTAACCAAAGGAAGTGTCGAACCCTCTGTGGACCTGCCCCTCCCATCGCTTGTGGCACCATAGACGTCGGTATCCGAAGCAGACATGTGGCCGGTAGCAGATCCTGAAACAACTGCCAATTCCACCCACCTTCCGGTGTAACAAAAGCCGACACCGGCGCAAAAACGGACCCGTCGCCTTCTTAATTAGTGGAACCTCGCTATGTAACCACCGATCCCACCAAAACTGAACTGTGTGGCCATTCCCTAATGACCATCTAGTACCTGCAAGTGTCGCCGGCCACACATCTCGAATAGATCGGAGTACCGTTGAGCCTCGGGGAAACTCAAAATCCTCCCCCATTGCCGTTGGCTCCAGCCTGTACTTAGCCCTCAACAGCCGACACCATAGTAAATTCGGCTCTTTTAAAAAGGTCCAAGCAAGCTTCATAAATAAAGCTCCGTTCATTAGCCTTTGGTCTTTCATTCCTAGCCCGCCCTCCATCCTTGGCCGACATACTTCCGTCCAAGACACAAGGCTGATTTTCCGGGATGAATCCGTCCCTCCCCAAATAAAATTTCTACATTTTCGCTCCAAGCTGTCACACACCCCATTTTCGCTCCAAGCTGTCACACACCCCATACGGCAATAAGGTTGTTTGCATGGAAAAATAAGGCAAGGAGGCCAAAGTCGACTAGGCGAGGATAGTGTCGAAGCTTTCCAGCCAGCTAGTCGGTTCTCCGCCAGAATGTCAATGTACGTCGACTTGGTCACTCTATTATGGATGATCGGCATTCCCAAGTATTTCCCAAGGTTCTCCACGGCCCGAAAACCTAACCGCTGTGTCATTAAGAAGCGATCCACAGAAGCGATGTTGGAGGAGAAAAAAACTTGCGTCTTCGGCTCACTCACTTTTAATCCGGAAGCCTCACAAAATTGATGTAAAATATCCTTCAACCCAACCGCCTGTTCCATGTTCGCTTCGATAAACAAAAGCAAATCATCGGCGAACATCAAGTAAGGAACCGATACCTACCCTCTCCCAACCGTAATCGGTCTTCAATCCCCCCTCGCCACAGATGCGTCAATCATATGGGCCAATCGTTTTATGCATAAAACAAATAAATAAGGTGAAATCGGGTCACCTTGACGGACACCTCGCGACGGGGTAAATTCCTCGCTAACACCACCATTCCAGTGCAACTGCATAGTTGCCGAAGTGACACAAGCCATCACGGAACCTACAAAATTAGCCAAAAAAACAGCAAGTTCCAGAGATTCCCGAATAAAATCCCATCGAAGATAGTCATAAGCCTTCTCCAAATCCACCTTAACCACCATGAAGCCTCTCTTCTCCTTCATGCTACGCATTGAGTGTATAAGCTCCTGAGCAATGACAATATTGTCAACAATATGTCGACCCGGGACAAAACTTGCCTGAGCCGGATTGATAATTAAAGGAAGCACCGACTTCATCCTCTCCGTCAGAACCTTAGTCATTAGCTTGTAAACCACATTGAGGAGACTTATAGGTCGGAATTGTTTCAGCGTCACCGGGTTTGCGACCTTCGGTATTAGAACAAGTAGGGTCTTATTTAAAACAGTCGGGACCATACCACCTTTCCAGATATCCTTAATCTGGGAACAAACCGACGGGCCCACATATTGCCATTTCTGCTGAAAAAATAAAGTGTGAAGCCCATCTATGCCCGGGGCTTTGAGAGGTGCCATCTTCTGCAAGGCCCGAAGAATATCTGTATCAGAGATATCTCGCCCCATAGCCCTCAGACGACTGCATTCCACCGTCGGATACGTGTCCCGAACTTATAATCCAACGGGATACCCAACCGGAGTTGTGTAAATGTCTTTGAAAAAATTAACGGCCATACGTCGCAAGACATTAGGATCATCGACTGTCCTTCATTTTTCATCTTTGAGTAACATAATTTTGTTTTTCCGTTGACGATGTTGGACCATCCGGTGGTAAAAAGCGGTGTTTCTGTCACCAAATAAAGTCCAATCACGTTGGGACTTCTGGAGCAGTAGTAGCTCCTCCTGGAGAAGAACGTCGTCGAGATCACCTCTTAGTTGTTGCTCTAATGTATGAAGAAAGGGGTTTCTTCCCACAAATTTCTTTCTTTGGATACCTCTAATACGAGCCAGCAGACAACGTTTCTTTGAAAAATGTTGCCAAACACCATAGCGTTCCATTCTAGAGCCTTCTCCGAGAAGGCCTCCGCCAAATTTTCGTAGGGGCCCCCTCCAGACCATGCAGTTGCAACCAAATTATCGAAACCCTCGTGAGTGAGCCATGCAGCCAGGAAACGGAACGGCTTAATCCCCCGTGATTTATCAGATTTAAAGGCCCGCACCAAGAGAGGAGTGTGGTCCGAATGCACTCGGGGGAGATGACACACCAAACTCTCCGGGAACATGTCCATCCAAGCCTCATTTCCAATCCACCGATCCAGCTTCTCTGCCAGCCCATTTCAAAACCACGTCGCCTGGTCCCCATCGGTTCTCAACTTATGAAGATCATTATTAAAAACCCAATCGGCAAATGCAGAGCTGACATTACAATTCCGTACAGAACCTTCATGCTTTTAAGAGACCCGAAGCAAACAATTAAAATCCCCACCTACCGCCCATGGTCCTCCAACTCGTTGCGCTAGCGTGCTCAACCGATCCCATAGATTCCTTTGTATTCTGGAAACTGGGAGGCCCCAACTCTAACTTGGGTGTGAACATGTTGGCGACTACATTCCAGCACCTGAAGATCAACCTCGTCCTTCCATAGAACCCAAATACCACCAGAGAAACCATTAGCTTTCACTCTGAATGACCTAGCATAGCCACTTCGTCGAATGAACTTGTCGGCACCCAAACCACTAATTCGTGGTTCCACCAAAGCAAAGACATCAGGGTTGTACTAATTCTTTAAAGCACTAAAGGCCCGCCTGAACCCGTCAGAAGCAGCACCTCTCACATCAGAGCGAACTAGGGATTTGCGTCCCTTCGTCCTCTACCATCATCACCTCTGTATCTAGTTCCGTGGCATTCCCCGGCACATGACAACTCGACTGGCTGGCTGGACGCCGGTCCAGAATGGTCGTATGGTCAACCAACATGCTTGTCTCGCCAGGGTCCAAAAGATCCCCAGTTTCACTGGTCCGAACTGGAGGTGGCTCCACCATTTGTACCACCTGATGTTTAGTCGAATCTAAAGTGGAAGCTACAGGAGTGACTACGGAAGTAAATGAGAAATGCTGCGGTTGAGTCCCAGCACTAGTTGTAAAGACCGATTCAACAACACCCTTCCCTCGCACCCGCGGATCCGTCGCCTTAGGCCCATCTACATCATTATCCCCTGACATGGCATGCGTTCCCGAAGGCTCACCCTGAACAACCTGGATAGTACTCTTGTTCGTTGTCCCACGACCATTCCTCTTTTTGCGTGAGACAATCCACCACTCAACCTAATTCCCTTTGGTATTAGTTCCAGTTGATCCCGGCAAAAACTCCTTCTGCCTCTTCTCCGAATCAATGGCAGCACTCGATTTAGAGACCTGCTCATGTGAAATCTCCGCATCATTAACCACTCCCAGGATACTAAAACGCGACCCATTACCGGGGATGTTACCCTTTCGTTTCTGACCAGGCGCAACCTCTCCCCTGTGGATCCTGAATGAAGGTTGAATGAAGGTCGACTGCTAGTTTTCGCCACTAACCACGGCCCATACAAACCCCCCTTTTCGTAATTAGACTTATCGCCATCACTACTGGCTTCGCGACCCACACCCTCTTTGACCGCCCCGACCCCATTAAGACCATTCGCTTCCCAAGACAATAGGTCACGAGTCCCGTTAGTCTCAGGAGCCCCATCAGCCGAATTACTTTTGTGACGATCCGGACAAATCGCCGCAGCATGACCATAGAAGCCACAATGAAAACATATGTCAGGGAGGAACTCATACTCGACACGTTGAAATTTCCCTTGAATATTGAAACCGGCACATAAAGGTTTAGGTAAATCCAGAACCACCGCAAGGCGCGCATACTTTCCCCTTGCTTTAGCTGCGGTTTGATGGTCGATTTTCACAACTTTACCCACAATGTCCCCAATCATTCGAAAGACCTTATTGTGATACAAGTGGACTGGCATACCCGGTAAGCGAATCCATGTCACCAAGGAATTAATTTGATCACAGGTAGCATCAAACTTTTCAGTCCATGGCTGGACATGGAGGTAATACTTTTGATATTGTTTCAATACAACCCAGGGTCCTCCAACAAGTACACCGACAGCATCGTCCTGAGAGTTAAATCGGATCTGATAGTAGCCGTTTTCCAAATCAATCATATCACAACCACTCATAGAAGGCCACAAGGCCACCAGTTTGTTGTACAGTAGGGGATGAGAGAAACCCACACCCATCACCTTCACCACCACAACATTTTTCCAAGAAAGTAATAATTTTTCATAGAAACTAACCTTCAAACGGATATTCGGTACCGGCCCTTGGCGGTCAATTATGACATCGTCATCCCCTTCAGTCATGCTCTCATCTTCAAGCAGTTCAACATGTGATGGTCGGTTCCGATTCAGCATATCTTGGAAGCTCGTCCTCTCCGGGCCCTCTGCCCTCGGTGACAACTCCGACCCAATATTACCCGCACCCTTCTCCATGACTTCATGGAGCCGAGAACGCTTCAATGAACGAGATGTGTCTGGCAGAGGAGAAGAAGCATCATGGAGAGCAGGGAAATCAGATTCACTTTGGTCGGGAGGATCAACCTTTGGGCCGTCAGGCATGTTTTGCTCTGTCATCGTCGCAGAGATGGGTTTTTTCGCTCAATTTAGGGATTTTCGTTTTTTTCTCTCAGTATCTTTTTTTTAGCTTTATGCTTGGAAAATAATTTTAGTTTTACACAGTGTTTGGTTCGGGGGAAAGTGAGGGGAGGGGAAGAGAGGGGAGAGAATTTTATAATTTTTCCTTGTTTGGTTCAATTTTTTGTGGGGGGAGAGATTGATATTTTCCCTTCAAATACCTCTTCCCCTCCAAAAGTGGAGGAATTTGGAGGGGAGGAAAAATTTATCACATACAATTATTATATTATCCTTTATATAAAAATTATTTTATTATTTTGTTTCTTACATCATTAAGGATATAATTGTCATTTCTACAATATTTTCTTTCCCCTCCCTTATTTTAACCAAACAATGTTTACCATTTTCCCTCCACTCCCTTCCTACAAAATCCCTCAAAACAAGGTAAAATTATTTTACTTCACCTCTTCTCTCCTCTCCTTCCTTCCATTAAAATCCCTCCCCTCCCCTCACCTCAGTTGAACTAAACATAGCCTTAAGCAAAGAAACAAGTTATTTTTTGGTTAAAAAAATAAATAAATAAAATGCTATAGTCAACGAAAGAATTAGCTAATATTAAAATTCTTTTCCAAGCCACCATTTTCTAACAAGAAGTGATCCAGCATAAATAAAAAAGATATATGAAATCAGTATTATCACTAAAAATAACCGAGATTCCCACCATGGATGTGCAAGTAGAGGAGCAGGTTAAAGCGTTAAAAATCGGTAGTTCGTCGGAAAATATAATCAAATTGCTCCGTCGATTCCTCGCCGTGCAGCAACGCCGTGCCCTTGCTTATGCCCGCCTTAAACGGTACACTTCGTGTTTGTTTGTGTGTGTGTGAGTGAGTGAGTATCAGCATGCTGTCTTGCAACATTCGATTTGTTCCCATTTGGGAGCAATTGTAAAGCTATTCATTCTAACCTTCGCCACCGTTCTCTGATGAACAAAATAAAAAATGACAGAAAAGATTATGGTTTTCTTTGTCTATAAAAATATGATGTTGATGATTTCTTTGTTTTCTAGTTACTGTTTAATTGTTGTTTGAACTTGGAAGGTGCCTGCTTTGGTTTGCTGCAGTAGTGTGTGTGTGTGTGTGTGTGTTGGTTTGTCCTCACACTCCTATTTCTTAGTATATTGTAGGGGATTTGAGAATTATATCGTTTCAGGGGGTGAGATAGCTTACCAGCAGCTTTGCAGTGAGATAACAGTCGAATACAATGATTGTTCAAAGCAGGTTAGTGTCGGTAGATAAATTGACAACCGTGAAACATATGTCTGTAGGTTTTGATATAATAGCAATCGACAACAGACAACAGTTGTCAATAATTTTGATATGAAAAAGTGTCAGGGTGCAGTATTCTGTTTGAAAAGCTTTTATCTTGCTTACCAACAAGTTCCCAACTAAGGAGTTGTGTCAGTTTGAGAGATGAGTATGATTGATATTTGGGTTTATTTACTTGTAAATGGATTCAAATGTGTGCAGGTCCTTGAATTGGAATCACTATTCGCAAGTCCCGATAGTTGCAGAGAGGATCTAGCTCACTTGCTCCGATCAGTTCAAGCACAAGAAAAGGAGAAATTGAACTTAGTATGTCTTCCTGGGCTGCCTAGGCTTTAATAATTTTGCATTGTGTTTTTGGGAAATATTTAACAATGCTTTTTATCTACTTTCACTTTGTCGAGCTTTCTACTCTATGGTTGCATCATGTCCGGTGACTATTCTCGTGATTTTACAAAATTGTCAAACGTCCGTTATCTAAATCAGGATAGCATATACATTGAAAAGTTGAAAGGAAAACATCTTTAATGCTGTCAAGTACTTAGTGAAGACCTGAAGACACTTGTGGTTTTTTATGGTTTTTTATATTTTCTTTCAGACAGCTACGATTCAGGTGCTGAAAAAGGCCGGCCGGCCCTCAGAACGTCTGGTGAGTCACGATAATTGCCGATTCAGAGAGTCAACGGGACATGAGTGCCTTCACATCCAGCAGATAACCGAAGCTTCTGGCACAGAAGAGGCCGAGGCCGATGCTCAGTACGAAATTGCACTCAAGGAAGCCATTAGAGGCGTGCAGGACACAGTCCTCGCAATTAACCAACACTTGGAAGAAGTCAGGTACGAGATTGAAGCTCTTGAGGCCGAATAACCATTCTAAGTACTACTGTGAAGTGCTTTTCTTGGGGACTTTATATTGGGAAAGTAAATTGTCCGTATTGGAATCGGTTATGTGATATTGGAAGTTTGGTTTTCGTATCTTGTGTGTCCGTAGAATATCAAGACCGGCGTAAAAGGATAATCAAATCACCAGAGCAGCAAAATAAAATAAAATATTAGATGCTTACATCATATGAAAAGCCATTGACTGAAACCTTCAATGGATCAAATAAAAACAAATATTGTGAGAACCCTTTACTTATTATTATTACTCCATACTCTAGCAAATCTATCTAGCTAAAACACAGACTCCAAGTCAGCATCCGAACTAGAAACCGAAGCAGAAACAGCCCCCCGGACGAGACTTCTTGGGGGACTTCTTCTTTTGCGGAGCTGCCGCACGCTCAGCAGAAACAGCCACCGGACCAGACTTCTTCTTGTTCGACTTCTTCTTCTTTACGCTCTTGCTCGAGCTTGTGTCGGAAAAAGAGTAGGAGCTAGAGCTGGAGCTCGTCGAGCTAGCATCGGAATTAGATGAAATAGAGGTCGAAGTAGTTGAGCTGTGCCTGCAGCCCCTCCTCGGTGGGGATGAAGACGAGGATGAAGAAGAAGAATAGTACTTCATGTGTGTGCATCTCTTGTGCTTGCACTTGCTACTGCTGGCTTTTTGGCTAGCTTTGCTGCTGCTTGCTTTGCCGCCACCACCCATTGTTTTGTGATGGGGGAGCTTTAATGAATACTGAGTATACACAGGAAAATTATGTATATATAGATCTAGGGGATATCGGTTATTTGGAAAGAATATTGAATTAAATATAAAAAATTATTTATTTAAACAAAATATTGTATCTATATATGTAGATTTAGGGGATCTTGATTATTTGGAAATAATATTGAATTAGATATTAAAAGATATTCATCTAAACAAAAATATTGGAATATTATTGTCTTTCCTGAATATTTTTTTCTCAAGTTAAGAGGGGGAAATAAATGCAAAATCAGGAAATGTTTTTGTAAGAATCTATTGTTTCTTTTGGCATGCTTTCTTTTGTCGGGGTTTAAATTTTTATTTGGTTAAGCATTTGCATTATAACCAAAAGAAATATATTGTTTATATGGAAGTGTCAAAGCAATATAAAATATGAAATAACTTAGTAACATTCATTTATATTCACATAAAAATACCGAATTTAATAATCAAATAAATTAGAAAAAGCAATTGGAGAACATAAACTTAATATATATTTTCTCCAACTCTACAACAAGCAAATAAAAGTAAGAGGATGTCACACACAATTCATGTTCGATAGAAAACCACCACACGACTATAAAGAGAAAAAGTGAGCATAAAAGAAATATAACAATATGAACAAATTTAAAGAAAAATCATCCAGATATTACAAAAGAAACATGAAATAAGTACACTAGGTTGAATAAACAGGAATGAGTATAATATAAACATCAACAATATAACAATATAGACATCATCTTCAATAACACCGCCTATACTTCCTACAGTCGTGTAAAAGTAACAAACGAAAACACAACTCCAAAGCTCTAGTACACAACATACACCATCTTATGTCATCAGTTCTGGAAATGGGATCATGTGAGACGCACACCAAAAAAATGGGGCAAACATGAAATTTTCTGGCAAATCGATGGTAAAATAGAAAAACAAAAGATTTATAATTATAGGACTAATTTACAATTTGGCATCCATTTGGAACTCTTTTTGCAAACTATTGAGATTTAGAGGACTAAAATGTATTTTTGTCAAATTTTCATGTCCCTGCCACTCATCTTATATGTGTGAGAGGAGAAAAACTGATGAGTGAGAAAAAGTTGTTGAATTGTGGGCCACTCTCCTAACAGCAAGAGTAGCTTGGGCCGGAACACACAGCTTCACGCCGTTGTGCGTGTCGGAGAGAGGATTGGATTCGATGAGTGATTACAGTGTCGCCGTTGTCAGAGGCGATAATCAGGTAAACGACTTTTCTGTTTATGAATTTCTAGCACATTAATTCGAGTGCTTCAATTTTATCCCATTTTTGTGCGTTTGCTCATTTGTTGACCTAATCGCGTAGCGGCATAAGATGAAGAGATGAATAAATGGGAAATTTTTACTGAAACGACATTTTGAGTTTCTGAAGGTTCAGTGATCAGTTGAAAATGGCAGTGATACTATTTGATCTGTAAGATTAGATGCAAAGAGTGTAGGGAGTGAAAAGGTTCTGCTGTTAGCTTGAGAAGTTTGTGTGTGTTCCCAAGAACGGCTTAATTTGTTTGTTCATCAAGGCTCATAAATGCATATATAGGAGCTGGAGATCCTTAATTATTTTGTAATATACTGGGTTGTGTGTGAAATCTAATTTACCACATGTAGATTCTAGCTGCTCGGTCTTTTGTTTTATTAATATGTGGAATGTTATCAAGTTTCAAAGTGGTATGAAACAATATGGTGAACCCAATGTGATTTAGTTGATTTGATTGTCGAACTATTTATTGCAAGCATGTAAGTTTTGGAGCTCGGGAGTGACCCTGTCTCTCTACGTGGTCGATTGGTTGAAATAATGAACTGAAAAGCATGACACTGTTCAACTTGTGTTGTCAGATCTGCATGGTTCATAATGTTCTTAAAGGTATCTGGAACTTACGTCTGAGATTATTTGCACTTTGGTATGAGATTCACCCTCGTCTGTTTAACATGTGTATGTATTTCTTTCTAGAGCTCCTAGAGGGTTTTTTTTTTTTTTTCTCTCTCTCCTTTTTTGCGAGAACCCAATGAATCACCACGATAATAGTTTCCTTACGTTAATTAGTCCCTATACCATGTATACTCACATTTGCAGAATTCCAATTCTCTTATCCTATCTAGCGTTGATTTCTTGCCCAATCACAGCCCTTTTCTTTATATCGTTTGTTGTTAGACATGGAGGATTAAGTGATTGAGCTAGATATGGAGAAAAGGCAGAGAAATGAGAAAGCTCAAACTCAAGATGGTGATGATGGGGTTACTACCTTAAGTGGAGACACTATCAATCAAGTTGATGATGGCAACATGAAACCATTTGTTGGCATGGAATTTGACTCTCAAGAAGCTGCCAAGGATTTGTACGACTCATACGCCAGGCGAGTGGGTTTCAGCACAAATGTCGGTCAATACACCCGGACTAACCCCGATGGTCCAATTGTTTCCTGGGAATTTCTCTGTTCCAGAGAGGTTCACAAACGAAAGAATGTTGAGAGCTGCAATGCCATGCTTCGGATAGAGAGAAAGGAATCAAACTGTTGGGTCGTGACAAAATTTGTTGAGGATCACAACCATTCCAGAGTGGGTCCCGGCAAGGTGCATTTCCTCAGACCTCGTAGACACTTTGCTGGATCTACACAGAATGACATCATGGTTTCTGTGGATGGAAATAATGTACATTACAATCCTAACCCAGTTGACAGGAATTCGTCTTCCTTTGAAACCGAACATGTTGTAAAAAATACGTCACATGCAGAAACAAACCCTCTAGTTAGAAAAACGTCCTCCGTCGAACAAAACTGTGCCACCACAGGTTCTATCCCTCTGATGCCACTGCATTTTGTACAGTCTTCTAGCAGAAGAAGAAGTCTTGGTAGGGATGCACATTATCTTCTCACCTATTTCAGAAATATGCAGGCTAAAAACCCTGGTTTCTTTTACGCTGTACAACTTGATGATGACAATCGCTTAAGCAATGTCTTCTGGGCTGATGCGCAGTCGAGAGCAGCTTATCGTCATTTTGGTGATGCGGTTACTTTCGACACAATGTATAGGCCGAATCAGCTTCAGGTTCCATTTGCCCCTTTCACTGGAGTGAATAACCATGGACAGATAATTTTGTTTGGTTGTGCGCTGCTTTTGGATGAGTCAGAAGGTTCCTTTGCTTGGGTCTTCAAAACTTGGCTCTCTGCAATGGATAACCGGCCACCAGTATCCATAACAACCGACCAAGACAGGGCTATCAAGGCAGCTGTTTGTCAGGTGTTTCCAGGCACACGCCACTGCATTTGTAAATGGCACATCTTAAGGGAAGGACAAGAAAGGTTGGCCCACATATATCTTGCTCACCCCTCTTTCTATGGAGAGCTCTATAGCTGCATCAACTTTTCGGAGACAGTAGAGGATTTTGAATCATCATGGAACCCTATTCTTGATAAATATGATATCCGGAAAAATGAGTGGCTTCAAGCTGTATATAATGCCAGGAAGCAGTGGGCCCCTGTCTATTTTCGGGATACCTTTTTTGCTGCTTTGTCATCTAACCATGGGGTGAGTTCCTTCTTTGATGGGTATGTGGATCAGCAGACGACCATACCCGTGTTCTTCAAGCAGTACGAAAGGGCTTTGGAAAGTTCCCTAGAAAAGGAAATAGAGGCAGATTGCAACACAATTTGTACCACACCAATATTAAAGACGCCGTCTCCTATGGAACAACAGGTGGCTAATCTGTACACGAAGAAGGTTTTTGAGAAGTTTCAAGAAGAACTGGTAGAGACATTTGTACACACTGCCAATAAGATTGATGGTCAAGGTACTTTCAGTAAATTTCGGGTTGCCAAATACGAGCATGATCACAAGGCTTACCATGTCATATTAGATGTTTCTGAGATGAACGCAAATTGCAGCTGCCAGATGTTTGAGTATGCAGGAATCCTGTGTAGGCACATCTTGACTGTATTTACTGTTACAAATGTTCTAACGGTGCCATCACATTATATCTTAAAGAGATGGACAAGGAATGCTAAAACTGGGCCATCAGATGGACAAAGTATAGATATTCAAAGTATAGAGTCTCTGACAGTCCGTTTCAACAATCTTTCTCGGGAAGCTCTATTATTTGCTGAAGAAAGTGCTATTGCTACAGAGACTTACAATGTAGCCATTGATGTTTTACGAGAGGGTGCAAGGAAGATTGCACATCTGAAAAAAACTATAGCTAAATACAATCTTCCTAGCTCTCAAGGCAGAGTCAGTGTCCAGGATGCTGGAAGCAGGAAAGTTTTGTTACCAACTCCTGATATGATTCCTTCATTATGGCCTTGTCAAGATGCTGTGCCACTCCCTAATCGCTTTAACCTCAATGATGCTGGAATTCCTGTTACTGATTCCGGTCAGCCAACATTAACACCTATAGCTATAAACCGTGAAGGTGCACTTGCTGATAATACGGTACGAACTAGGGTTGCTTGGTATGTTGTTTGGAAATTTTAACTTTTTTTCTATGTTGAGTGGTAACTGACGTAAATAACCAAGAATGGTTCAGAAAGCTGTACTTTAAGGTTATGTTGTAAACTGGTTTCTTTATCACCTTTTTAGGTTGTTCTCACTTGTTTTAAGTCCATGACATGGATCATCGAAAACAAGAGCCCAACGAGTAAAGTGGCTATTATCAATTGGAAGGTTTGTGATTTTTATTTTTATTCTACTCTTTCTCATTTCTGTTTCTGCGATGAACTATAGATTGAAATTGATCGTGTGGAGATATAACATAGCAACTTCTTTTCAATCTTTGATACGGGAACTCCTATTTAAAATTATTCTTGAACAAATTTTCAAGACGCCACAGCAGTTTCACTTATACCAGACAGTTTCTAACTGCTAGGGCAGCTTCAAGATTATGGCAAAGCTCCATCAGGGGAAACAGAGGTGCAGTTTAGTCTTACAAGAGCCACTCTGGAGCCAATGTTAAAATCCATGGCTAACATAAGTCAACAGCTTTCAAAACCCGCGAACAAGGCTGCCGCCATCAATCTCAAGGTGCCTTTTTTTCTCTTTGGTAGCTTAGTCCACCTTGTAATAATAAAATAGCTGGATTCCATTTTTTGATGTTCTGTTTGGGACCCTTTCATCTGTCTCATTCCATTTTTGTTTTGTTTGTGAGAGTATTTTTCTGAGTCATCCCAACTAATATTTGGCTTATTTTCCTCTTCGGGAATTTGATTAGTCTTAATTGGGAATTTCGAGTTGTGTTGTGTCAGCAAGGTAAATTTGGCATAATCTTGAGTTTTATGGTATATAAATCAAGTGATTAATAGATAAAATATTAGTTTCATAGATTTATGTCATGATTAGAATAAAGTTGTTTTAAGTTTTAACATGGTTGCTTTGTTTTTTTGTGGTATGCAAATCCTGTTTACTGGGTTTTTGCTTCATTCAAAGTCTATGTAACCACTTTAGAGATACAATTCCATTATTTGTCTGTAAATCCGGTAGAAGCATTCCAGTACTTCCATTAGCTATTCAAAGAGATTTTCGAGGTCTCCGTTCAGAGAAAGATAAATAGCCTTCTATTACTGTAGTAGTGAAGTGCATATGATCTTGATTAAAACTAAAATGCTATTTTTTGCTTTGCAGCTCCAGCCTCCAGGGTTACTTTTTAGTGCAGTGAATTTTTTTTTAGTTAAACTAAAATACCATTTTTACTTGGCAGATCCCTGGCGCTACAACAACTGGAGGAGCAGAGGTGAAATTCCAAGTTTCAAAAGATACCTTAGGTTCAATGCTAAGATCAATGGCTTATATTAGGGAGCAACTATGATATGTAAGCTCGTATATCATTCGACTCTATTGATTTTGTTGCTTGCCTTACGGATTATAGTTGATATATTTCCACCCAATTTTCATCAGGCATCACCATGTTAATTTTTTTCAAATTTCATTACAGAAAAACATGTCAAATGTACCAACCTAAATATATTCAATAACATTAGAAATTTTGTATGTATCACGTCTTCTTGAATCTAAAGTTTGTAAAGAGCTTGTGCACGTGAAGCGTAGATACTGTTAATCTGATTCACACTACATTAATGATACCTATCGAGTAAACCCATTGTTGTTACGGTGTGAGCTACTGTAACAGCTTATGTGTTGGTAAACAGCTTGGTTTTTAATGACAGATTACTTGATGTACTTATTGTAGTAACTCTCTGATATAAACATTAACAAAGACTAAGTCGTGTGTTGAGAGGACAACTCTCAAGGCAACATATTGAATTCGAGGCAAAAAAATCAAATGCACTCACTAATACTAGCTTAGGTTTTGATAAACATAAACTAAGCTGGTATTTAGAAATATTAATCACTCTGTTTTGTAGTGTATAGAATTAACTCTTTTACATACCTTTTAATTTTTTTCGCAATAATACGATCTTAAACATAATATCATACATAAACTATTCATAAATGAGTCAAATCAAAAAATAATGCTAGTTAACGAACTAGTGTAGCATCGCTATTGTAAAGTGTTTTCGCAGCGTCTTAAAAATGACTATTAATCTCTTTTTAGTTATTGAAAGGCTTTTAAAAGATTTGAAAAATTATTTTATTTTTCAGAAATCATTGTTTGAAGAAATGAAAAAGGTATTTGAAAGTTGATACATAACAGGGAACATCATTCGTTGGACTTTTTTCTTTTCTAAATAAGGAGACCTTAAACCTACAGTAGACTTGGTCACGGTTTCTTCTTTTCCATAAATTTGGAAGAGTTCAAAATTAATTATTTTTTCCTTTCTTTCTTCCCCTTGCATATTTGCATTAAAGTTTTTTTAACCACTTTCATTGGGATTCTTATTCTTATTTTACTTTAGCAAAAATGGCTTAGGTTGCAGATTTGCAGTTTCTTAAAATGGCACCTGAGCTGCTGTAGCGTCCCAGTCGAATAATAGCACACATCTCGATTATTTATTTCTATTATGCATTTATTTCTGAGCTCGACAAGTTTTTGGATTAATTAGACGTGAGTGTCTAATTTAATCATTTGAGATAATTAATTTATTTAAACATTTTAGTCTATTTAAATTATTCAGAGAGGTTAGCCGAGATATTAGAATTTTCTTTTTTCAGTTTAGCGAGAGCCAATTATTTTAGCCGTTTTCAGTGTCGTTGGAATTATTTTCTGGACTCCTTTGAATTATTGAGACCGACTTTTAGAATTTATTGAGTGTTATAAAAACGGGAAAAATAAAGAACACAAAATATAGAAACCGGATATAATTTTTACTAAATTTTTTCTTCCTTTATTACTTTCTCTCTTTTCTTTTCTTCTTTTCTACATTTCATAATGCTCAATATATTGAGCAATATTTATAAGTGAAATATGTACACCTATATTGACATTTTTACACAAGTAGAAAATTCAAAATCAAATTTGTACAAAAAGGACTTTTGTTAGTCCATATTTTACAAATAAAAAAATGTACATTGGTGTTGCCTTAGTAAAATATGAGTTTATGCTGCCTCATTAAAAACCTTATTCGGAAAAACCCAGTGGGAAAAAAAACCGATATAAGGGAAAAAGAGTACAGCCTCACATGCTCCCCTTCGAGTTATCAACTTTGCAAATCTCGAAGGTATCTCATTCCAATGTTATGTACATGTTTTCGAAACATTGTAATTGGAAGTGCCTTTGTGAATAAATCTGCTGCATTATCACTTGATCGGATGTATTGAACTCTGATTTGTTTGTTCTTTTCAAGCTCTTGAGTGTATGAGAAGAACTTTGGCGGGATATGTTTGGTTCTGTCACTCTTGATGTATCATTCTTTGGTTTGAGCGACGCATGCTGCATTGTCTTCAAATATCACCGTCGGATCTTTATTATTCGATAACCCACTGGCTTGTTGAATGTGTTGAGTCATGTTTCTGAGCCATATGCTTTCCCTAGTTGCTTCATGAAGTGCAATGATTTCAACATGGTTTGAAGATGTAGCAACTAGTGTTTGTTTCTGAGAACGCTAGGAAAATGCAGTTCCGCCAATAATGAATACATAGCCAGTTTGAGATCTCTCTTTATGTGGGTTTGATAGATATCCTGCATCTGCAAAACCAATCATTTCATATTTTTTTATCATTGGAGTAAAATAATCCCAGATCGATTGTTCCTTGGAGATAACGGAATATATGGTTGATTCCATTCCAGTGTCTCCTCGTAGGTGACGAGTTATATCTTGCTAATAAATTGGTAGCAAAAGATATATCTGGTCTAGTGCAATTAGCAAGATACATCAGAGCTCCTATTGCACTCATATATGGTACCTCAGGACCAAGTATTTCTTCATTTTCTTCACAAGGTCGAAATGGATCTTTTTCAACATCCCATGTTCGATTAACCATCGGAGTACTAAGGGGATTAGCTTTGTCCATATTAAATCGTTTCAGTACTCTTTTAGTATAGTTAGATTGATGGACGAATATCCCATTTTGTACTCTCTCTATCTGTAAGCCAAGACAATATTTGATTTTACCGAGATCTTTCATTTCAAATTCGCCTTTCAGAAAAGTGACTGCTTCTCGAATTTCATTTGTTGTCCCAATAATATTAAGATCATCAACATAGACAGCAATTATCACAACCCCGTCATGTGATTTCTTTATAAAAACACACGGACATATTTGATCATTCAAGTATCCCCTTTTTAGTAATTGTTCACTCAAACAATTATACCACATACGCCCGGATTGTTTCAAACCATATAATGATCTTTGCAACTTTAACGCACATAACTCTTTAGGTTTGAATTTCAGTGCTTCGGGCATTTTGATTCCTTCTGGGATTTTCATATATATGTGTGTGTCTAATGATCCATACAAGTAAGCAGTTACAACATCCATGAGACGCATTTCAAGATTTTCATGGATAGCTAAACTCAACAAGTATCTGAAAGTAATTGCATCCATGACAGGGGAATATGTTTCATCGTAATCAATCCCAGGCCTTTGGGAGAATCCCTGTGCTACAAGGCGAGCTTTATATCTCGTGATCTCATTTTTATCATTTCTTTTTCTGATAAAAACCCATCTGTATCCAATAGGTTTTATGCCTTTTGGTATAATGGAAATAGGCCCAAAAACTTTTCGTTTATTAAGTGAATCTAACTCTGCTTGGATGGCGCCTTTCCATTTATCCCAATCATGTCTTTTCTGGCATTCAATTACAGATTTTGGTTCAGGATCCTCAACTTCATTATTAATTTCTTTCGATACCATATATGAAAATGCATCATCAATATTTATGATCTCATCATGTTTCCAAAGATTCCCATTATTTACATAATTGATGGAAATTTCAATATTTTCATTTTGTCCCGAAACTTTTCCATCATCTTCATTCTTTTTCAAATCTGGGTCATTAATTTCTCTTTTCTTTCGAGGATTCTTATCTTTAGACCCAATTGGTCTTCCTCGTTCAAGCGTGTCTTTGACTCATTTGGCATATCATCATTTGTCATTTCTTTTGAAATCTCAATTCGAGCAGGGGCATTTAAAGCTGCCACATGTGATTTGGTCACCCTTTTTATATCAGTAAATGCATTTGGCAATTGATTTGCAATATTCTGCAGATGTATGATCTTTTGAACTTCTTGCTCTCTTTGTTTGGTGGGAGGATCAAGATATGATAGTGATGATGTACTCCATTCAATATTTCTCTCAATTAATTTTTCATTCCCACCTAAGGGGGAAAACAATTCTTCATTAAAATGATAATCATCAAACCGAGCTGTAAAAACATCACCTGTTTTTGGCTCAAGGTATTTGATTATCGATGGAGATTCATATCCAATATATATTCCCAACCTTCTTTGAGGCCCCATTTTTGTACGTTGGGGCGGAGCAATTTGTACATACACTGCACAACCAAAAACTCTTATATGTGCAATATTTGGTTCTCGACCATATGCCAACTGTAATGGCGAGTATGTATGGTATGCACTTGGTCTTATTCGAATTAGATCATCTGCATGCAGAATAGCATGTCCCCATACTGAAGCAGGAAGTTTTGTTCTCATTATTAATGGTCTAGCTATGACTGCAATCGTTTAATCAATGATTCTGCTAGACCATTTTGAGTATGAACATGTGGCACAGGATGTTCAACATCAATTCCCACTGCCATACAATAATCATTAAAGGCTTGAGATGTAAACTCACCAGCATTGTCAAGTCTGACCTTTTTAATAATATAATCTGGGAATTGAGCCCTTAACTTTATAAGTTGGGCGAGTAATTTAGCAAATGCCACATTTCGAGTTGATAACAAACTCACATGAGACCATCTACTAGAGGCATCAATCAACACCATAAAATATCTGAATGGACCGCAAGGTGGATGAATAGGTCCACATATATCACCATGAATCCTTTCTAAAAATAATGGTGATTCATGTCCGATTTTAGTGTGTGATGGTCTCACTATCAATTTTCCTTGAGAACATGAGGCACATGTCAATTCATGCGTTTGCAATATCTTCTGATTTTTTAATAGATAGCCATTAGAATTTTCAATAATTCTTCTCATCATTATCGAGGCAGGGTGGCCAAGTCGATCATGCCAAAGTTTAAATATTCCTTTCGACTTTGAATTGGTTGTAGCATAAACCTCGATTATATTAATGCGGGTATAATATAAACCCGAGGATAAAACGGGTAGCTTCTCCAAAACATATTTGTTTCCCGCAATATTTGAGGTAATGCAAAGATATTCAGCTCCCCCTTTATTCATTGTTTCAATGTGATATTCATTCATTCTGATATCTTTAAAACTCAACAAGTTTCTAGTTGATTTTGGGGAGAATAATGCATCATTCACTATAAATTTTGTACCACCCATCATAAAAAATATGGCCTTCCCAGACCCCTCAATTATTTTTGCACTTCCTGATATTGTGTTCACATTTGCTTTATTTGTTTCTAAGTGAACAAAATATTTTCTGTCTTAGTATAGTGTGGTAGTGGCACAATCTGCCAGACATAAATCTCCATTTTGGATTCGAGATTGTTCCATGATCTAAAACAGAAAAATAAAAAATATTATTCATTAATTTCCAAATACATATAACAATGTTCCAAACAGTATTACAATCATACTCAATACATAAAACAAACATGATCATCATTTATTCTTCATTATTTGCAGTTGCTTCCCCAAACACTGCATCATCAAAATCCATCCTTAGCATGTCATCGATGTTATAGTCATTTTCTGCACGTATCGGTTCATTTTCGGACGGTTCTCCCACCATAAAATTAGTTTCAATATTCTTCTCTTTTGATTTCTGGGAATCTTGGTATCTTTCAACCACGTGCCTTGGGGCTCGACAATTTCGAGCCCAATGGTTATTTCTACCACATCGATAACATGCTTTTTCATCGTTATTTTTCACAACTTTTTCATCCCCTTTATTATTTTCAGAATGCTTCTGAAAATTTCCCCTCTTTTCATAATTTTGGGCATCGTTTTTTTCATGATAATAACCTCGGCCAGATTTGTATCCTGGGTAAAAATTTCGGCCTCGTCCATAATTTCTATCTGGACCATATCCACGACCACGGCCTGAGTTATATCCACGTCCATAGTTATGGCTGTTTTCATTTTTGGGTCCCTTTTTAGATATTACAGCATTTATCTCAGGAACCGCAGTAGACCCCGTGGGTCTAGGTTCGTGAATTTTCATCAAAAGCTGATTATTTTGTTCAGCCAGCAACAAACAAGAAATTAGCTCAGAACATTTCTCAAAACCTTTTGCTCAATATTGTTGTTGCAAAAGTACCATGGATGCATGGAATGTGGATAATGTTTTTTCCAACATATCATAGTCAGTTACCATTTCCCCACATAATTTCAGCACTGAGCAAATTCGAAACATTGCTGAATTATATTCGTTTACTGTTTTAAAATCTTGGAAACGTAACGACATGCATTCATGACGTGCCCGAGGGAGAATAATCGTTTTTTGATGATCATATCTGTCTTTCAATGCTTTCCAAAGATCTGCTGGATCTTTGATAGTTAAGTATTCATTTTTCAATCCCTCATTCATATGATGCCTTATAAAAATCATGGCTTTTGCTTTTTCTTGTAGGGATGAATCATTTGGGGAAATTATTGTTTTTCCCAATCCCATGGCATCTAAATGAATTTCAGCATCCAAAGTCCATGAAATATAATTTTTCCCAGAGATGTCAAGTGCCTCAAACTCGAGCTTTACCAGATTCGACATGGTAACTATAAAATACAACATCAGTGCTTAGATTTAATAACCAATAAAGAAAATTACATATACAATCATTCATTCTTCAAAACATACATAAGAGCAAGTACTAAACACATTATACAAATACTTAATACATAAATTTTAAATCCAGTAGAATGATACATCATCGTGAACATTAACAAAACGCATATAGTAAATAATATATCGGTAAGATGAAACATTTTTTTTTTCTCGTTTGAGGGGAATAAATTTTGGTATTTTGGAATGGGTGTTAATATGTGAAGTGTAATGTTATATATATAGAGATTGAAAAAGAGCCGTTACTATATAGCCGTTGGGAACAAATTAATGATGTAATATTTATTAGTTAATCATTCATGATTATAAAATTCTAATTAATCTTGTATATTACTTTAAAAATATTTCGAGTCACTATGTGAACAATTTAGTGAATATAAGTAACAAAACAAATAAAAAATGTCACTCCACACTACTCGATAAATCTTTCGGTGGGTACACGAATAAGCAGATATAAATTTCACGCCACATTACTGGGGTAAACCATTTTGCGGGTGGTAAGTACATGTAATAATATTATGTACAAATATTATAACTTGAAGTTATTTTTCATAATCAGTAGTAATTCATAAGTAAATTTAATAATATCATCTTACCACATATTATTGACTATGGCAGAGCCTTACTTGCCAATAATAATGGTAATATATGGATTAGTAAAATATACTAATTTTATGTAATATATATATATATATATATATATACATATATATATAATTATTATATTCATACCTTTCTGACCGGGTAGAGCGCTCCTGCTGATAACGTGTTATAAAAATGGAAAAAATAAAGAACAGAAAATATAGAAACCGGATATAATTTTTACTAAATTTTTTCTTCCTTTATTACTTTCTCACTTTTCTTTTCTTCTTTTCTACATTTCATAATGCTCAATAAATTGAGCAATATTTATAGATGAAATATGTACACCTATATTGACATTTTTACACAAGTAGAAAATTCAAAATCAAATTTGTACAAAAAGGACTTTTGTTAGTCCATATTTTACAACATTGAGATCTATTTTAGTCGGTTTAATTTTATTTCGAACCGTCTCTAGCCAACTAGTGTATATCCCGTGCGATGCACGTAGGAGCTCATATTTTAAACTTTTTTAGGTTTTATTTTAAATATAATTACTTATATTTTTCACATCTCGTTTATTATGAAAATAAAATAAATACAAACAATGAAAAATATATATTATTAAACACTTCTCTTTATACAATATTTTTTTAAGTAATATTATTAAACCTTACGGTTTTGATTTTATATTTTTTAAAAGTCAATTATCTCCATACCATTTTAATTTCAAAAAAATTGGCAAGTTTGTTAGAGAGATAAATCCATTTAGATAAATGATTAATTAGTTAAGATATTATATTAATTGTATCATAAAAAAATCGATTAGATAATGTAGATAAAAAAATATAATATTAATTAGTTTGTTAGGAATGTGATTATATGAAAATCAAGATAAAATGAAATTTACCCAAAAAATTTTGTTTAGGATCTTTTTCTTTATGTTTGAATTTAAAAATTTAATACCGAATTTCGATTATATCACATAAGGAAAAAATAAATAATAAATATTTATTAATATATTAAAACATGTAATTTTGAATTTCATATAAAGTAAAAGGTATAATAATTCAAATTTATTTTTAAAATAAAAGCTATGATAAAAATTTATTTGTTATCTATAAAATTTTTATTTTTTATTATTCTAATGATTTATACATTAAAGTGAACTTAGGTACGGTATGATTTAATTCATTTGAGGTTATATCTACCGCATTCCATCCGCACAAACATGTTATAGAAGGATTAGCTCAAAAACTTAATTTGACAAAATAAATTACAAATTCATTTCCTGTTTTAACGGATAGATTATCTCCAAATAAAAAAAAAGGAAGTCAAATATATTGCTAAAATAAAAATCTGTTTTCCAAATGAAAATGATCTTGAATTTATTGGATATGGAAAGAATCTCATCCAAATTACAGAATTTCGGAATGAAAAAAAATTCAAACTTCTGAAAAAATTTCAAACAAAATATTAGGGGGAAAAAATGATTTGAGCGGTAAAATGAAATAATTTTTCAAACATTTTTTCTAAATAGTAATAGATTTTCGAGCCCAATTTTGTAGGCATTTAAGCTATTTCCTTCGGCCCAAATCAAAACTTTCCTTCGGCCCAATTGCAAGAAAATCTGAGATAAGATGTATCAGCCCTAATTTTTTTTCCTCTCACGCGTCATCCATAGCAGAATTCAAGCCGCTTTCTCCTTCGATCGAATCTCACCCTAAAATCTCAGAAATTGTTTTCGATCCTTCAGTCTTTCCCGTTCGCATCACACGCAGGTGCGATAATCCGAGCATCAGACCCAATTCCTCCCTGGCAACCCATCGCCGGCGACCTCCACAGCCGCACGTCCCTGCGCCTGCCGAGAAGGAGGAGAGAACCATCGTCCTCAGATTGCCCAAAACCCCAGCCTCCTAATCGCCTCCATCACGCGCTTAACATCAGATTTCCGTTCATCCCATATCGAGCAGATAAGCCGTCATCCTTAGCCCTAGAAAATTCAATTTTCAATCGCCATATCCGTCGCAGGTTTCAAGCTCGCCGGCGTAGCACCAATCAGCCGCCGGTACGAGCAGCTTCGTCCCACCCCTTCAAATCCTCGCCGGTGACGCAGCAAGCAGTCTGAGACCCCGTTGGGAAGAGCAGCGACAGCCGTGGTTCGTCCACCTTCAAATTCTCGCCGGAGAAGAGAACCCCGCGCCGGAGGTCTCGTCAGCACTCGTCGGTCCTTGGATTCACAACCCCAGGTGAATATCCGAACAGCGGCAGGCCCACCGTCCGGTAGCCGGCGACTCGTCGTTCAGCAGCCATTAGTCCTTCACCTACGGGTAGCGGTCCCGTTCTTCGGCTAAGAGGCAGCAGCGGGAAAAACCCTCGCCGACTGTGCACAGCCCCTGTTTGCAGCATCTATTCGAACTCGCGGTAACCATCAGCCTTCACAGTCGGTGAATGAGCAGTTCCCGCCTGCTGTCGTTCACTTGCCGAGAATGAGCCGTGTGCAGCAGCCGTCCGTGCACCCCAAACGAAGGAGTCCTGTTCGTCAACGTTGGAGCAGATCCTAGGAGTCGAGGGGCCGCAACTCAACCGCCGTAGCCTCTGTCCACGGGTCCGAACGAACGTCGAACAAGCAGCCGGTATGCGAGCGAGTAGCCGAGAACCTTCTCAGCGAGCATCAGCTCTTTTATGTCTCCTTCGAACCGCATTTGAGCAGCCCCCGTAAGTGAGAGAAGAGTAGCAGCAGCTCCGGTTCGTAAAGCCGGGTGTTATCGAGCCTTGCCCGTGATCCGAGAGTATTCGCGAGTGAAACATTTCCTTCAGCCCTTCGTTATTCCTTGAAGGAGGTATACGGCTATACTCTACCTTTATTATTATGAGTTATTTGAAGGATTAATGTGAGTCTTAAGTTCATGGCGATGAGAATCTTAAATTTTGAGATTTAAACATGTTGATCGAGTTATTGAGTTGACGATGAATTCTCGACTTAGGATGTATATTAGCCTCTAAAATTTATTATTATTTTTTTAAAATAAGAAGTGGCGTTACAACAGCGCACTCTATGTACAGAGTGTAGCATTTTTGTTTTTTCTGATATTAATATTATTGTTCTTATTAGAAAGCAAGCTGTTTTACACAATTCATTTTCTTAATACAATGAAGAAAAGTACAAATGAAAGATCAAATCAAAGCTAAGTTAAACATAGAAACTACAGTAAATCCATCAAAAGATAATGTTGGTTTTACGAACTAGTGTAGCATCGCTATTGTAAAGAGTGCTTTTTCGCGCAGCGTTTTAAAAATGACTTTTAATCTCTTTTTAATCATTGAAAGGCTTTTAAAAGATTTGAAATATTGTTTTAATTTTCAGAAATCATTGTTTTGAAAAAATGAAAAAGGCATTTGAAAGTTGAAAGATAACAGGGAATATCATTTATTGCACTTTTTTCTTTTCTAAATAAGGAGACCTTAATGGTCAAGGGTTTCTTCTTTTCCATAAATTTGGAAGAGTTCAAAATTATTTGTTTTTCCTTTTTCTCTTCCCCTTGCATATTTGCATTAAAGCTTTTTTTAACCACTTTCATTGGGATTCTTATTCTTATTTTACTTTAGCAAAAGGGGCTTAGGTTGAAGACTTGCAGTTCCTTACAATGACACCTGAGCAGCGCATGCTATGTACAGAGTGTACCATTTTTTTTTTTTTTTTTTTTTTTTTTCTGATACTAATATTATTGTTCTTATTAAAAAGCTTTACACAACTCATTTTCTTAATACAATGAAGAAAAGTATAAATGAAAGATCAAATCAAAGCATAGAAACTACAGTAAAACCATCAAAAAATAATGTTGGTTAAAGAACTAGTGTAGCATCGCTATTGTAAAAAGTGTTTGTTTGCGCAGGGTCTTAAAAATGACTTTTAATCTCTTTTTAATTATTGAAAGGCTTCTAAAAGATATGAAAAATTGTTTTAATTTTTCAGAAATCATTGTTTTGAAAATATGAAAAAGGTATTTGAAAGTTGAAACATAACAGCGAACATCATTCATTGCACTTTTTTCTTTTCTAAATAAGGAAACCTTAAACCTACAATTTTCTTCTTGTCCATTGATTTGGAAGAGTTCAAAATTAATTATTTTTCCTTTTCTTCTTCTTTTATCGAATTACTTTAGCAAATAGGAGACAACATCCGAGTTAGCAACTTGAAATGTAATTCAATAAAAGAAGATTTTTTTTCCAATATACTTTTTTTTTTCAAAAAAATATTATACATTATTAAAAAGTGGTACTTTGAAATATTCTATATTATGGTCATGAGGGAAAAAAATTAATATAAGCATAAAAATAATAGAAATAATTGGTGTCGAAACGATAAGTGTAGTGCTATAAAATATAATGTCTTCATTTTCAAATTATGGAGATTATTAATTTATCATGATATATCCCCATTGTATAATTCATTGTACAATTTGATTGTACATGAATCTCTACTATTTACTAATACACCTACTAACAACAAATCTAACAATGAATTGTACTCATGTTAATACATTTAATGTGAATATATTTTTTTTTTTCTGTTTCATTATTGAATGTTTTTTTTAATTAAAAATAGTTGTTTTTTCCCTCACGTTTGACTGCAGAAGATGGAAGGTACAAGAGATAATAACCTCTGTTATATACGTTATATAAAATTTATATACATTATAACCTCTTTTGAACTTAATCAGATACTCTTATATTTTCATGGTGATATTTCGGTATCGATCTTGCCAACAACAAAAAATCAACATGGAACTGGTAAGATAGTTAATGTTATGAAATTATAATTTACACAAATTCTATTTTAAAAAATATATTTTATCTCTACTAGAGATTTGCGAATTATTTGCCTATTTAACGTATATGGAGATCAAGCTTAGGATGACCACCACCAATGCATAATTACATTGGATCATTGTCCTCACTGTCTGCATCTTATGTCGTTGACTCATTCACACCAAGTCATTACCAAACATTATCCAAAAATCTGCTCTTACTAATGTTGTTGATAAGTTCGTCCAAACTAAAGGAGTAGCTTTGCAACAACACTACTGTGGCGAGGACGATGTAGAGGAGCATGACCGTACAGGTATATTCGGTATATGAGTCAAAATTGGTCATTCCTAGGGCCTCGATAATTCGAAACTCCCTCTTTTAGGTTAAGAGAGGACCCAATTTTACTAATGAGCTTGTGTTTGCGGACCTTTTCTCGTGAACTTTAAAGTTCTCCTCAACTCAACTTTAAACTGAGGAAGAGACTTTATCATGCAGCAGAGGGTGAAATAGTGGGCATCAACCCACCTCCTTTTACAAAGGTAAAGTAGCACATACCTGTGTCCTCACAGGTTTTGAGATGCGTAACGGAGTCATATTCTTCAAGATCCTCAACAGCTAGCACCGCAACATCGTATTCCTGACAGGATATCATCTATAGTGATGTACCCATACCCTCCATCAGCCTAATCATTTCCCCAGATGTTGAGGATCTCGAAGAATAGGACTCCGTTACGCACCCCAAAACCTGTGAGGACACATGTATGGAGTGCTACTTTACCTTTGTAACGTGACAGTCGTGTGTTGATGCCCACTATTTCACTCTCTGCTGCATGATAAAGTCTCTTTCTCACTTTAAAGTTCACGAGTAAGGGTCCCACGTTATGGCAAATACAAGTTCATTGGTAAAGTTGGGCTCTCTCTTAACCTCAAAGATGGAATTTCGAATTATCGAGGTCCTTGGGAATGGACAATTTTGACTCCTATACCGAGTATACCTGTCATGGTCATGCTCCTCTACATTGTCAACACCACAGTAGTATTGTTGGAAAGCTACTCCTGGAGAAACTTATCAACAACATTAGTAAGAACAGACAGATTTTTGGATAATGTTTGGTAATGACTTGGTGTGAATGAGTCAACGACATAAGATGCAATAAGCACAATGATCCAATGTAATTACGCATTGGTGGTGGTACCGTCATCCTAAGCTTGATCTCCATATACATTAAATTGGCGAATAATTCGCCGAGAGATAAAATATATTTTTTTTTAGATAGAATTTGTGTAAATTATAATTTTATAACATTAATTATCTTACAGTTTCATGTTGATTTTTTGTTGGAGGCAAGATCGATGCCGAAATATCCTCCATTTATCTGTTTAAAGTTCTAAAAGAGGTTATAATGTATGTAAATTTTATATAACCTATATAACATAGGTTATTATCTCTTGTACTTTCCATCCCTATGCAGGTTTGAGGGGGAAAAAAACAACATTTTTTAATTAAAAAAAAAACATTTAATAATGAAACAAGAAAAAAAATGTCTTCACGTTAAATGTATTAGCATGAGTATAATCCATTGTTAGCTTTGCTGTTAGTATGTGTATTAGTAAAGAGTAATGCTACATTTTGTACAATGGATATATCATGATAAATTAATAATCTCCATAACTTGAAAATGAAGACATTATATTTTATAACACTACACTTATTGTTTCAACACCAATTATTTCTATTATTTGTATGCTTATATTAATTTCTTTCCCTTATGAACATAATATAGAATATTTTAAAGTACCAATTTTTAATAATGTATAATATTTTTTTTACCAAAAGTATATTGGAAAAAAAAAATCTTATTGTATCGAATTACATTTCAAGTTGCTAACTCAGATGTTGTCTCCTATTTGCTCCCTATTATCACACCAATATTTAAGACGCCGTCTCCTATGGAAGAACAGGTGACTAATATGCACACGAAGAAGGTTTTTGAGAAGTTTCAAGAAGAACTGGTAGAGACATTTGTACACACTGCCAATAAGATGTCAAGTCAAGGTACTTTAAGTAAATTTCGGGTTGCCTAATATGAGCATGATCACAAGGCTTACCATGTCATATTAGATGTTTCTGAGATGAATGCAAATTGCAGCTACTAGATGTTTCATGTTTGAGTATGCAGGAATTCTGTGTAGGCGCATCTTGACTGTCTTTACTGTTACAAATGTTCTAACGGTGCCATCGCATTATATCTTAAAGAGGTGGACAAGGAATACTAAAATTGGGCCATCAGATGGACAAAGTATAGATATTCAAAGTATAAAGTCTCTCACAGTCCGTTTCAACAATCTTTCTCGGGAAGCTCTATTATTTGCTGAAGAAAGTGCTATTGCTACAGAGACTTACAATGCAGCCATTGATGTTTTACGAGAGGGTGCAAGGAAAATTGCACATCTGAAAAAAACTATAGCTAAAATCAAACTTCCTAGCTCTCAAGGGAGAGTCAGTGTCCAGGATGCTGGAAGCAGGAAAGTTTTGTTACCAACTTCTGATATGATTCCTTCATTATGGCCTTGTCAAAATGCTGTGTCACTCCCTAATCGCTTCAACCTCAATGATGCTGGAATTTCTGCTACTGATTTCAGTCAGCCAACCAACACCTATAGCTATAAATCGTGAAGGTGCACTTGCTGATAATATGGTATGAAGTAGGGTTGTTTGTTATGTTGTTTGGAATTTTTTAACTGTTTTTCTAGGGTGAGTGTAACTGACGTAAATAGCCAATAATGGTTCAGAAAGCAATACTCTGAGGTTATGTTGTTAACTGGTTTCTTTATCACCTTTTTAAGGTTGTTCTCACTTGTTTCAAGTCCATGACATGGATCATCGAGAACAAGAGCCAACGAGTAGTGGCTATTATCAATTGGAAGGTTTGTGCAACTGCCTCACATATAATTTTATTTTTATTCTACTCTTTCTCATTTCTGTTGTTTTGGTGATGAAACTATTGATCGAAGTTGATTGTGTGTAAATGTAACATAGAAACTTCTTGTCAATCTTTGATACGGGAACTCCTATTTAAAATTATTCTTGAACAAATTTTCAAGAGGGCACGGAATTTTCACTTATACCAGACAGTTTCTAACTGCTAGGGCGGCTTCAAGATTATGGCAAAGCTCCGTCAGGGGAAACAGAGGTGCTGTTTATGTAGTCTTACAAGAGCCACTCTGGAGCCAATGTTAAAATCTATGGCTAACATAAGTCAACAGCTTTCAAAACCCGCGAACAATGCTGCCGCCATTAATATCAAGGTGCCTTCTTTCTCTTTGGTAGCTTAGTCACCTTGTAAAGAATTATAATAAAAGGGCTGAATTCCATTTTTTTATGTTCTTTTTGGGACCCTTTCATCTGTCTCATTCCCTTTTTGTTTTGTTTGTGAGGGTATTTTTCTGAGAGTCATCCCAACGAATATTTGGCTTATTTTCCTCTTCGGGAATTTGATTAATCTTAATTGGAAATTTCGAGTTGTGTTGTGTCAGCGAGGTAAATGTGGTATAATCTTGAGTTTTATGGTAGTAGCATTTTCTATCAAATGATTTGATATATTCTCTTCCTCTGTGTAGGTTGAGCGTGGCGGCGGCGAGAAAACGATGGAGTGGTGGTCATTAGTTGATGTGTCTTTAGCTTCCGCCCATTGATTATCGATGTTGAACTACTTGTTTTTATTTTTATTATTTATGCTTCCACTTTGAACACCATGATTATGTTTGGATGTTTTTTTTTAGACTTATGAATGATTTGGTTTTAATTTTTTTTAGTTTATGCATGTGTAGGTTCTATCTATTTGTTTTAATTGTCGCCGGTAGATAAGTAGTGCCCGTTAATTATTAAAGTTTTAAATTGAGATTTTGCTAAAAATTGACTCTGATTTTTATAAATAAATTCGGTAAATTCTTTAAAATAAAACGGGGATCAAGTGATTAATAGATAAAATATTAGTTTCATAGATTTCATGTCATGACTTGGAATAAAGCTGTTTTTAAGTTTTAACATGTTTGCTTTGTTTTTAGTGGTACGCAAATCCTGTTTACTGGCTTTCGCTTCATTCAAAGTCCATGCAACCAGTTTAGAGATACACTCTACCCATTATTTTTGTATGTAAATCTAGTAGAAGCATTCAGGTACTTTCATTAGCCATTCAAAGCGATTTTCGAGGTCTCTGTTCAGAGAAAGATAAATAGCCTTCTATTACTGTAGTAGTGAAGTGCATATTTCTTGACATGCATCAACAAGCTAAAGATGTTTTGATTAGAACTAGAATGCTATTTTTTGCTTTTCAGCACGAGGGCTACTTTTTGGCGCAGTCAATTTTTTTAGTTCAACTAATATACCATTTTTACTTGGCAGATCCCTGGGGCTTCAACAACTGGAGGATCAGAGGTGAAATTCCAAGTTTCGAAAGACACCTTAGGTTCAATGCTAAGATCGATGGCTTATATTAGGGAGCAACTGTGATATGTGAGCTCGTATATCATTCGACTCTATTGATTTTGTTGCTTGCCTTACGGATTATAGTTGATATATTTCCACCCAATTTCCATCAGGCATCACCATGTTAATTTTCATCAAGTTTCATTACAGAAAAACATGTCAAATGTACCAACCCAAATATATTCAATAACATTAGAAATTTTGTATGTATCACGTCTTCTTGAATCTAAAGTATGTAAAGAGCTTGTGCACATGAAGCGTAGATACTTTGAATCTGATTCACACTACTCTAATGATACCTATTGAGTAAAACCATTGATGTTACTGTGTGAGCTACTATAACAGCTTATGTGTTGGTAAACAGCTTATAAAAACAGGGATAATGACAGATTACTTGATGTACTTATTGTAGTGACTCTAATATAACCATTGACAAAGCCTAAGTCGTGTGTTCAGAGGACAGCTCTCAAGGCAACATCTTGAATTGGAGGAAAAAAAAATCAAATGCACTCACTAGTACTAGCTTAGATTTTGATTAACATAAACTAAGCTGGTATTTAGAAATAATATTCGCTTTGTTTTCTAGTGTATACAATTAAATTTTCACATTTACATGTTTAATGTACTTTCTTTTTTTCTTTTTTCTTTTTTTTTTTCAAAAATATGACGTTAAACATATTATCATACATAAACTATTCATAAATAAGTCGAACATAGTGTAAGTGAAAAACCGATGACAAAAACAAACCACAAATCAAAATTTCATAAACAATTAAAAGTTCTTATATTTGCAATTAAAGAAAGTTCACAAATATGCAAATAAAATAGGATTTGGAGGTAAACAATGTAACTTACACTATAGAATTTGAGGCTATGAAATTTGAAGTAGTGTTGCATTGCTATTGTAAAGAGTATTTTTTGTGTAGCATCTTAAGAATGCCTTTTTATTTCTTTTTAATTATTGAAAGACTTCTTAAAAGATTTGAAAAAAATGTTTTAATTTTCAGAAACAAAACAATAAAAAATGAAAAAGCATTTGAAAGTTGAAACATAGCAAAACGGAACAGCATTCATTGCACTTTTTTATTTTCTAAATAAGGAGACCTTAAACCTTCAGTAGACTTGGTCAACGGTTTCTTCTTTACCTTAAATTTGGAAGAGTTCAATATTTAATTATTTTTCCTTTTATTCTTCCACTTGCATATTTGCATTAAAGCTTTTTTTTTTTAACCACTTTCATTGGGATTCTTATTCTGACTTTACTTTATCAAAAGGAGTTTAGGTTGCAGACTTGCAGTTTCTTAAAATGGCACCTGAGCAGCTATGTACAGAGTGTAGCATTTTTTTTCTGATATTATTGTTCCTATTAGAAAGCAAGGTTCTGTTTGGCACAGCTCATTTTCTTAATATAATGAAGAAAAACACAAATGAAAGATCAAATCAAAACTAAGTTCAACATAGAAATTACAGTAAAACCATCAAACCAAATGCCTGTCAATTTTTCTAGATAGTGTACAAAGTCAAAGTGTACTATTTTCATATAAGGGCCTTTTAATTTGCACTGCTGCATTGTTTTTGCACCAAAATAGCACAAGGAACATTAGAATCAGAGTATCAGACATTGAACCACCACAAATTTGAAATTATCAACAAAACAAAAAGTATTCATGATAAATAGTACTAATACCACAATGCTAACACTGGGCTAGGATAAAATATTAAAGAAACACTGAATGGTCTGAACCAAATGTTTTTCAGGGTATATAGTGGAAATAGCATTAACAGGTTACACACAAAAAGAAACAAAACCCATGCATTCAAACTCCTCAGCAAAAGAACATTGTATTGGTGATCTTCTCATGCAGAACCGGGAGCTGTGGCACCGAAGCTCCTCCACTTGTCGAAGTCCCTCCACTGTGCTGGCTCGATTTTTCCGAAATATCGTCCAATTTTATGAACTGTGACATTTGGGCAGCCGCCAGGTGTGCGTAGCAGATAGGAGCAACTGCACGTGAAAAAAACCAACAAACGATGACAATATTATACAAGAGCCCGAAGATTTTTTGTTTTTTTTTTTTTCAGAAAAAATAATGCAAAGTGAACTGCACATATTGTATAAACACTGTAAATGTTTGTGTTTAGGAAAAGCAAAAGAGTTTTCGAGTTTGAATGAGAAACTTATTATGTCGTTTTGAATTTACGTTACCTATGGAGATGGCAGTGGTGCTTCTCTGATACCTGTAATAAAAAAGTAGATGCACGTCTCGATTAAAATCTTGAGTTGAAAAACTGAGGTTAGTTACATATCTATATAAACATATTCTTACACGTAGGATAGCGAGTGAACGAGCTCCTGCACATCATCTGCAGAGAAGCCAATCTCATCATACAGAACGTGATAATGTGTTGGTCGAGTGGTCCCCTGTATGAAAAATCACATTGTTCGATTATAATTCTCAAACCCAGAAAGCATTTGTGAATTTTTTTTTCATGCAAGAAATGAAAGTTATTCGAGAGATTCTCACAATCATGCCAGCATGTGCACACATATAGAAGTCATTGTTCCTTGGGTGGCAAATTCCAGTGTCGATTACAGTCCCTAGAAGTTATATGTAATCAAGTGGTCAGGATTAATTATCAGTAATTAATCCCTAGAAGTTATATGTAATCAAGTGGTTAGGATAAATAATCAGTGATTGATTAATTCCAAAGGGGTCAGATTGACTGTGCATTGATGAGACAGAATTGTAAACCTGCTGGAACATTATCTGGGTTGTTCGACTGGAAAAACTTTGTGTGGTGGTTCTTTTGTGCCACGATCACCATAAATTTGGGAGCCCATTTCTCATCCAGAAACTTGCAAGCCTGCACGAAAATACATACATTTTCGATTACAACCAACCAATGAACACGACTCTGATCACAAACAAACGCTTTAAAGGTTTCATAAAAAACGAACCTCGATCATCTGCTCGAGTTCGATGTTGAGAACTTGGTTGAACTGTGACTCACTCACCCCATCCCTATAAAAAGCACAAATTACAGAACTTAAGCAACAACTCAATGAGGGAGATTAATCTAGTTAAGATGTAGTTTGTTTGATGTAAGTTCTTAAAAGTTAAGTACCGAAAGATAATAATTTGCTCCGGCTTCTTGCGTGAACTTCTGTAGAAGTCCATCACTGCCTCCCTGGAAAATATAGCTCGAATATTAATCCATACATACAATACAGTAAACAGCTGAATAAGTGGCACAATATTTTTGCACATCTTGAACATGCAATTTACCTGAAAATGCCTTTGTCCTCAGTATCAGACACTTTCTTGAACAGGGAATCGACCATCTCCATCTTTGGTGACTGAGTACGAACTGCTGCTCGGTATTTAGAGATGAGCGGCCAATGCCTTGAACTAACCACCTAATAATAATACATTTCAAACAGGCAAAAAAAAAGATGACATTTTTTTAGAAATGGTTCACATTTGGAAAAAAAATGATGGGCTGATGGGCATAAAGATTTAAAGAAAATGACATACAGCAGCAATAGATGGAACATCCGATCGACCAGGAGAGCCATGCGAGACATCCATCCCGATTATTAGTGTGGGGATTTGAGAAACGAGAGGTATATTTGAAGTATGCTCGATTGTCAATAGTGAGTTGATTCCACCAAGCTGTTGGATTGAATATAGTTAAGCAAAAACTAAGAGAGCATAAACAATGGTAAAATAGAGCTAAATTTCAAGAATTGACTTACCTTAGCATTGATCTTCAGAAGAACATTCGTCAGGTACTGATCGTTGACACGAGTGGGAGCAATGCACTGAGTCACTATCCCGAATTCCGAGAGATTTTTCATCTTCCATGGGCCTTACAAATAAAAAAAATTAAGTAAATAAATAAATCAGAAAAAATGGATCAAATTACTTGAAGAATGTCAAAATAACTACCATAAACATCCGAGTTTTTCCTGTCTGACAAAAGGCAGAGGATGAACTGAGGAGTTCCGGGAAGTCGTGACTTGATCATTTCAAACATCTTGTCTACCCTAACAGTAGGAGGGGCATTTCTATATTCTGTCCTCTCTTGAAACACCTCATAAGGTCGAGTTATTGACTAGAAAGTCAGAATAGCAAATATTCAGTTAGTCTAGAGAAGGATAACTATGCAACTTCCCATTGTATAATAATCCATACAATACAATAAAGATGGCTGATATACTCACTATGCCTTTCATCTGCCCACATCTTATCAGGTCCTCGCATAGTTTTTCCATGTGACACCGTGCAGAAAAGTTCACTACGACCCACCTCTCGAGCTTTACAGGCTCAACCAGTTGCTGCATTATTTTATTTTATTTTTTAATCAAAAATGATTCAACACAGACATTTTCATGGAGACAAGAAATAAAGATATACCTTATGATTAAAGTTCCACCGCCCTCTGCTTGGGACAAAGTCCTCCCCTTTGCCAACTCTTAACTTGTGACGAGACACAAAAATAAACTTAAAGGAATGCATCTCGGACGGTAGCATGACCAAAAAACCATTATTGCACACAGTAAACAAACACAAGACAACAATTACGAATTCTCAATGCTGGCTGTTTCACATACCTTGGGTGCTGCTAAAACCCTGCCTTGGATTCGAGTGAAGTCAGTGCTGATTGTAATTCCGGAAGATACTAGAAGAGGATCGGCAGAATACTTGCTGCTGCTGAATGCCTGCAATAAACAATTATCAGGAGAAAAAAACAATAAGAAACAACTGCATAAGTTATTTAATTTCAGCTAACTAAGCCTTACTTGCTGTAAGGCGTTCATCCTCTCTTGTGGCTTCTGACGAGATTTTTCTACAAGAGAGGCTCTCTGTAGATTGGACAAGGATTTGGTATAACGTTGTAAGGAGACCAACGTGCATAGCTACAACATGGAGAAGAAACAAGTCCGAAATTAATATTGTAATATAAAAATCAGTATGTAGTTTTAAAGTCATAATTCGGAAAAAAAATCAACCTCAATAGGTATGTAAACAGGACGCTTTGGTTTTCCAACATTCACACAAGGATACTCCCCAGAGTACTTGAGCCGGATATTGCGATGTTGGACAAAATACTCATACACAGTCACATTAAGTTCCTGTGCTTCACTTGACCCACCAGCTCTTCCTTGTTTCAGTAAGAATCTGAAAAACATGAAAAAATTGCAGATTAACAAGTGTTGTAATAGGGGGACAGCTTGGTTAATAAGATAACAGCAATACAAATAATAATAATAATAATAATAATAATAATAATAATAATAATAATAATAATAATAATGATAATAATAATGTAGAGCTCACGTTTGTTCCCTGCATATC